CAAACGACAAATATTGCAGCTACAACAGAGGAGGAAGACACTACATTGTATCCTACATCTCAAGCAGATGTAACAACAGTTTTCGAGACAACGGAGAAATCTGGTACAACTCTGGAATCTTCAACAGAGGATCTCGCCTCCACTGTCATAACAAGCACTGAACAAGAAGCAACTACAATCGATCAAACAACACAAGACTTGTTATCCACGATAGAAGGCACTACGGAGGTTGGTACTACGGCCAATCCGGTAACATCCAAAGAAGCGTCAACAGAGGTGGCTACCACGAATCAGGATGCTACAAGTATCATTCCATCAACCCTTGAACCGACAACAGAGGCACAAACGACAAATATTCCACTTACAACAGAGAAGGAAGGATCTACATTGTATCCTACATCTCAAGCAGCTGTAACAACTGTTTTCGAGACAACGGATGTTACAACTCTGGAATCTTCAACAGAGGATCTCGCCTCCACTGTCATAACAAGCACTGAACAAGCAGCAACTACAATCGATAAAACAACACAAGACTTGTTATCCACGATAGAGCCCACTACGGAGGTTGGTAGTACGACCATTCAGGCAACATCCAAAGAAGCGTCAACAGAGGTGGCTACCACGAATCAGGATGCTACAAGTATCATTCCATCAACCCTTGAGCCGACAACAGAGGCACAAACGACAAATATTCCACCTTCAACAGAGAAGGAAGACACTACATTGCATCCTACATCTCAATCAGTTGTAACAACTGTTTTCGAGACAACGGAAAAAGCAGTTGTAACAACTGTTTTCGAGACAACAGAGAAATCTGGTACAACTCTGGAACCTTCAACAGAGGATCTCGCCTCCACTCTCAAAACAAGCACTGAAAAGGAGCAACTACAATGGATCAAACAACACAAGACTTGTTATCCACAGTGGGAGGTACTACGGAGGTTGGTACTACGGTCAATCCAGTAACATCCAAAGAAGCGTCAACAGAGGTGGCTACCACGAATCAGGATGCTACAAGTATCATTCCATCAACACTTGAACCGACAACAGAGGCACAAACGACAAATATTGCAGCTACAACAGAGAAGGAAGGCACTACATTGTATCCTACATCTCAAGCAGCTGTAACAACTTTTTTCGAGACAACGGATGTTACAACTCTGGAACCTTCAACAGAGGATCTCGCCTCCACTGTCATAACAAGCACTGAACAAGCAGCAACTACAATCGATAAAACAACACCAGACTTATTATCCACGATAGAGCCCACTACGGAGGTTGGTAGTACGACCAACCTGGCAACATCCAAAGAAGCGTCAACAGAGGTGGCTACCACGAATCAGGATACTACAAGTATCATTCCATCAACCCTTGAACCGACAACAGAGGCACAAACGACAAATATTCCACTTACAACAGAGAAGGAAGGCACTACATTGTATCCTACATCTCAAGCAGCTGTAACAACTGTTTTCGAGACAACGGATGTTACAACTCTGGAATCCTCAACAGAGGATCTCACCTCCACTGTCATAACAAGCACTGAACAAGCAGCAACTACAATCGATAAATCAACACAAGACTTGTTATCCACGATAGAGCCCACTACGGAGGTTGGTAGTACGACCAATCAGGCAACATCCAAAGAAGCGTCAACAGAGGTGGCCACCACGAATGAGGATGCTACAAGTCTCATTCCATCAACCCTTGAACCGACAACTGAGGCACTAACGACCTATATTGCAGCTACAACAGAGGAGGAAGACACTACATTGTATCCTACATCTCAAGCAGATGCAACAACAGTTTTCGAGACAACGGAGAAATCTGGTACAACTCTGGAATCTTCAACAGAGGATCTCGCCTCCACTGTCATAACAAGCACTGAACAAGAAGCAACTACTATCGATCAAACAACACAAGACATGTTATACACAGCAGGAGGCACTACGGAGGTTGGTACTACGGCCAATCCGGTAACTTCCAAAGAAGCGTCAACAGAGGTATCTACCACGAATCAGGATGCTACAAGTATCATTCCATCAACCCTTGAACCGACAACAGAGGCACAAACGACAAATATTCCACTTACAACAGAGAAGGAAGGCACTACATTGTATCCTACATCTCAAGCAGCTGTAACAACTGTTTTCGAGACAACGGATGTTACAACTCTGGAATCCTCAACAGAGGATCTCACCTCCACTGTCATAACAAGCACTGAACAAGCAGCAACTGCAATCGATAAAACAACACAAGACTTGTTATCCACGATAGAGCCCACTACGGAGGTTGGTAGTACGACCAATCAGGCAACATCCAAAGAAACGTCAACAGAGGTGGCTACCACGAATCAGGATGATACAAGTCACATTCCATCAACCCTTGAACCGACAACAGAGGCACAAACGACAAATATTCCATTTACAACAGAGAAGGAAGGCACTACAATGTATCCTACATCTCAAGCAGCTGTAACAACTGTTTTCGAGACAACGGATGTTACAACTCTGGAACCTTCATCAGAGGATCTCGCCTCCACTGTCATAACAAGCACTGAACAAGCAGCAACTACTACCGATCAAACAACACAAGACTTGTTATCCACAATAGAGCCCACTACGGAGGTTGGTAGTACGACCAATCAGGCAACATCCAAAGAAGCGTCAACAGAGGTGGCTACCACGAATCAGGATGCTACAAGTATCATTCCATCAACCCTTGAACCGACAACAGAGGCACAAACGACAAATATTCCACTTACAACAGAGAAGGAAGGCACTACATTGTATCCTACATCTCAAGCAGCTGTAACAACTGTTTTCGAGACAACGGATGTTACAACTCTGGAATCTTCAACAGAGGATCTCGCCTCCACTGTCATAACAAGCACTGAACAAGCAGCAACTAGTATCGATCAAACAACACAAGACTTGTTATCCACAGCAGGAGGCACTACGGAGGTTGGTACTACGGCCAATCCGGTAACATCCAAAGAAGCGTCGACAGAGGTGGGTACCACGAATCAGGATGCTACAAGTATCATTCCATCAACCCTTGAACCGACAACTGAGGCACAAACGACCAATATTCCACTTACAACAGAGAAGGAAGGCACTACATTGTATCCTACACCTCAAGCAGCTGTAACAACTGTTTTCGAGACAACGGATGTTACAACTCTGGAATCCTCAACAGAGGATCTCACCTCCACTGTCATAACAAGCACTGAACAAGCAGCAACTACAATCGATAAATCAACACAAGACTTGTTATCCACGATAGAGCCCACTACGGAGGTTGGTAGTACGACCAATCAGGCAACATCCAAAGAAGCGTCAACAGAGGTGGCCACCACGAATGAGGATGCTACAAGTCTCATTCCATCAACCCTTGAACCGACAACTGAGGCACTAACGACCTATATTGCAGCTTCAACAGAGGAGGAAGACACTACATTGTATCCTACATCTCAAGCAGATGCAACAACAGTTTTCGAGAGAACGGAGAAATCTGGTACAACTCTGGAATCTTCAACAGAGGATCTCGCCTCCACTGTCATAACAAGCACTGAACAAGAAGCAACTACTATCGATCAAACAACACAAGACATGTTATCCACAGCAGGAGGCACTACGGAGGTTGGTACTACGGCCAATCTGGTAACTTCCAAAGAAGCGTCAACAGAGGTGGCTACCACGAATCAGGATGCTACAAGTATCATTCCATCAACCCTTGAACCGACAACAGAGGCAAAAACGACAAATATTCCACTTACAACAGAAAAGGAAGGCACTACATTGTATCCTACATCTCAAGCAGCGGTAACAACTGTTTTCGAGACAACGGATGTTACAACTCTGGAATCTTCAACAGAGGATCTCACCTCCACTGTCATAACAAGCACTGAACAAGCAGCAACTACAATCGATAAAACAACACCAGACTTATTATCCACGATAGAGCCCACTACGGAGGTTGGTAGTACGACCAATCAGGCAACATCCAAAGAAGCGTCAACAGAGGTGGCTACCACGAATCAGGATGCTACAAGTATCATTCCATCAACCCTTGAACCGACAACAGAGGCACAAACGACAAATATTCCACTTACAACAGACAAGGAAGGCACTACATTGTATCCTACATCTCAAGCAGCTGTTACAACTGTTTTCCAGACAACGGATGTTACAACTCTGGAATCTTCAACAGAGGATCTCGCCTCCACTGTCATAACAAGCACTGAACAAGCAGCAACTAGTATCGATCAAACAACACCAGACTTGTTATCCACGATAGAAGGCACTACGGAGGTTGGTACTACGGCCAATCCGGTAACATCCAAAGAAGCGTCGACAGAGCTGGCCACCACGAATGAGGATGCTACAAGTCTCATTCCATCAACCCTTGAACCGACAACTGAGGCACAAACGACCTATATTGCAGCTACAACAGAGGAGGAAGACACTACATTGTATCCTACATCTCAAGCAGATGCAACAACAGTTTTCGAGACAACGGAGAAATCTGGTACAACTCTGGAATCTTCAACAGAGGATCTCGCCTCCACTGTCATAACAAGCACTGAACAAGAAGCAACTACTATCGATCAAACAACACAGGACTTGTTATCCACAGCAGCAGGCACTACGGAGGTTGGTACTACGGCCAATCCGGTAACTTCCAAAGAAGCGTCAACAGAGGTGGCTACCACGAATCAGGATGCTACAAGTATCATTCCATCAACCCTTGAACCGACAACAGAGGCACAAACGACAAATGTTCCACTTACAACAGAGAAGGAAGGATCTACATTGTATCCTACATCTCAAGCAGCTGTAACAACTGTTTTCGAGACAACGGATGTTACAACTCTGGAATCTTCAACAGAGGATCTTGCCTCCACTGTCATAACAAGCACTGAACAAGCAGCAACTAGTATCGATCAAACAACACCAGACTTGTTATCCACGATAGAAGGCACTACGGAGGTTGGTACTACGGCCAATCCGGTAACATCCAAAGAAGCGTCGACAGAGGTGGCCACCACGAATGAGGATGCTACAAGTCTCATTCCATCAACCCTTGAACCGACAACTGAGACACAAACGACCTATATTGCAGCTACAACAGAGGAGGAAGACACTACATTGTATCCTACATCTCAAGAAGATGCAACAACAGTTTTCGAGACAACGGAGAAATCTGGTACAACTCTGGAATCTTCAACAGAGGATCTCGCCTCCACTGTCATAACAAGCACTGAACAAGAAGCAACTACTATCGATCAAACAACACAAGACTTGTTATCCACGATAGAAGGCACTACGGAGGTTGGTACTACGGCCAATCCGGTAACATCCAAAGAAGCGTCGACAGAGGAGGCTACCACGAATCAGGATGCTACAAGTATCATTCCATCAACCGTTGAACCGACAACTGAGGCACAAACGACCAATATTGCAGCTACAACAGAGGAGGAAGACACTACATTGTATCCTACATCTCAAGCAGATGGAACAACAGTTTTCGAGACAACGGAGAAATCTGGTACAACTCTGGAATCTTCAACAGAGGATCTCGCCTCCACTGTAATAACAAGCACTGAACAAGAAGCAACTACAATCGATCAAACAACACAAGACTTGTTATCCACGATAGAAGGCACTACGGAGGTTGGTACTACGGCCAATCCGGTAACATCCAAAGAAGCGTCAACAGAGGTGGCTACCACGAATCAGGATGCTACAAGTATCATTCCATCAACCGTTGAACCGACAACAGAGGCACAAACGACAAATATTCCACTTACAACAGAGAAGGAAGGATCTACATTGTATCCTACATCTCAAGCAGCTGTAACAACTGTTTTCGAGACAACGGATGTTACAACTCTGGAATCTTCAACAGAGGATCTTGCCTCCACTGTCATAACAAGCACTGAACAAGCAGCAACTAGTATCGAGCAAACAACACTAGACTTGTTATCCACAGCACAAGGCACTACGGAGGTTGGTACTACGGCCAATCAGGTAACATCCAAAGAAGCGTCGACAGAGGTGGCTACCACGAATCAGGATGCTACAAGTCTCATACCATCAACCCTTGAACCGACAACTGAGGCACAAACGACCAATATTGCAGCTACAACAGAGGAGGAAGGCACTACATTGTATCCTACATCTCAAGCAGCTGTTACAACTGTTTTCCAGACAACGGATGTTACAACTCTGGAATCTTCAACAGAGGATCTCGCCTCCACTGTCATAACAAGCACTGAACAAGCAGCAACTAGTATCGATCAAACAACACCAGACTTGTTATCCACGATAGAAGGCACTACGGAGGTTGGTACTACGGCCAATCCGGTAACATCCAAAGAAGCGTCGACAGAGGTGGCCACCACGAATGAGGATGCTACAAGTCTCATTCCATCAACCCTTGAACCGACAACTGAGGCACAAACGACCTATATTGCAGCTACAACAGAGGAGGAAGACACTACATTGTATCCTACATCTCAAGCAGATGCAACAACAGTTTTCGAGACAACGGAGAAATCTGGTACAACTCTGGAATCTTCAACAGAGGATCTCGCCTCCACTGTCATAACAAGCACTGAACAAGAAGCAACTACTATCGATCAAACAACACAGGACTTGTTATCCACAGCAGGAGGCACTACGGAGGTTGGTACTACGGCCAATCCGGTAACTTCCAAAGAAGCGTCAACAGAGGTGGCTACCACGAATCAGGATGCTACAAGTATCATTCCATCAACCCTTGAACCGACAACAGAGGCACAAACGACAAATGTTCCACTTACAACAGAGAAGGAAGGATCTACATTGTATCCTACATCTCAAGCAGCTGTAACAACTGTTTTCGAGACAACGGATGTTACAACTCTGGAATCTTCAACAGAGGATCTTGCCTCCACTGTCATAACAAGCACTGAACAAGCAGCAACTAGTATCGATCAAACAACACCAGACTTGTTATCCACGATAAAAGGCACTACGGAGGTTGGTACTACGGCCAATCCGGTAACATCCGAAGAAGCGTCGACAGAGGTGGCCACCACGAATGAGGATGCTACAAGTCTCATTCCATCAACCCTTGAACCGACAACTGAGACACAAACGACCTATATTGCAGCTACAACAGAGGAGGAAGACACTACATTGTATCCTACATCTCAAGAAGATGCAACAACAGTTTTCGAGACAACGGAGAAATCTGGTACAACTCTGGAATCTTCAACAGAGGATCTCGCCTCCACTGTCATAACAAGCACTGAACAAGAAGCAACTACTATCGATCAAACAACACAAGACTTGTTATCCACGATAGAAGGCACTACGGAGGTTGGTACTACGGCCAATCCGGTAACATCCAAAGAAGCGTCGACAGAGGAGGCTACCACGAATCAGGATGCTACAAGTATCATTCCATCAACCGTTGAACCGACAACTGAGGCACAAACGACCAATATTGCAGCTACAACAGAGGAGGAAGACACTACATTGTATCCTACATCTCAAGCAGATGGAACAACAGTTTTCGAGACAACGGAGAAATCTGGTACAACTCTGGAATCTTCAACAGAGGATCTCGCCTCCACTGTAATAACAAGCACTGAACAAGAAGCAACTACAATCGATCAAACAACACAAGACTTGTTATCCACGATAGAAGGCACTACGGAGGTTGGTACTACGGCCAATCCGGTAACATCCAAAGAAGCGTCAACAGAGGTGGCTACCACGAATCAGGATGCTACAAGTATCATTCCATCAACCCTTGAACCGACAACAGAGGCACAAACGACAAATATTCCACTTACAACAGAGAAGGAAGGATCTACATTGTATCCTACATCTCAAGCAGCGGTAACAACTGTTTTCGAGACAACGGATGTTACAACTCTGGAATCTTCAACAGAGGATCTTGCCTCCACTGTCATAACAAGCACTGAACAAGCAGCAACTAGTATCGAGCAAACAACACTAGACTTGTTATCCACAGCACAAGGCACTACGGAGGTTGGTACTACGGCCAATCAGGTAACATCCAAAGAAGCGTCGACAGAGGTGGCTACCACGAATCAGGATGCTACAAGTCTCATACCATCAACCCTTGAACCTTCAACTGAGGCACAAACGACCAATATTGCAGCTACAACAGAGGAGGAAGACACTACATTGTATCCTACATCTCAAGCAGATGCAACAACAGTTTTCGAGACAACGGAGAAATCTGGTACAACTCTGGAATCTTCAACAGAGGATCTCGCCTCCACTGTCATAACAAGCACTGAACAAGAAGCAACTACAATCGATCAAACAACACAATACTTGTTATCCACAGCAGGAGGCACTACGGAGGTTGGTACTACGGCCAATCCGGTAACTTCCAAAGAAGCATCAACAGAGGTGGCTACCACGAATCAGGATGCTACAAGTATCATTCCATCAACCCTTGAACCGACAACAGAGGCACAAACGACAAATATTCCACTTACAACAGAAAAGGAAGGCACTACATTGTATCCTACATCTCAAGCAGCGGTAACAACTGTTTTCGAGACAACGGATGTTACAACTCTGGAATCTTCAACAGAGGATCTCGCCTCCACTGTCATAACAAGCACTGAACAAGCAGCAACTACAATCGATAAAACAACACCAGACTTATTATCCACGATAGAGCCAACTACGGAGGTTGGTAGTACGACCAATGAGGCAACATCCAAAGAAGCGTCAACAGAGGTGGCTACCACGAATCAGGATGCTACAAGTATCATTCCATCAACCCTTGAACCGACAACAGAGGCACAAACGACAAATATTCCACTTACAACAGACAAGGAAGGCACTACATTGTATCCTACATCTCAAGCAGCTGTTACAACTGTTTTCCAGACAACGGATGTTACAACTCTGGAATCTTCAACAGAGGATCTTGCCTCCACTGTCATAACAAGCACTGAACAAGCAGCAACTAGTATCGATCAAACAACACCAGACTTGTTATCCACGATAGAAGGCACTACGGAGGTTGGTACTACGGCCAATCCGGTAACATCCAAAGAAGCGTCGACAGAGGTGGCCACCACGAATGAGGATGCTACAAGTCTCATTCCATCAACCCTTGAACCGACAACTGAGGCACAAACGACCTATATTGCAGCTACAACAGAGGAGGAAGACACTACATTGTATCCTACATCTCAAGCAGATGCAACAACAGTTTTCGAGACAACGGAGAAATCTGGTACAACTCTGGAATCTTCAACAGAGGATCTCGCCTCCACTGTCATAACAAGCACTGAACAAGAAGCAACTACTATCGATCAAACAACACAGGACTTGTTATCCACAGCAGGAGGCACTACGGAGGTTGGTACTACGGCCAATCCGGTAACTTCCAAAGAAGCGTCAACAGAGGTGGCTACCACGAATCAGGATGCTACAAGTATCATTCCATCAACCCTTGAACCGACAACAGAGGCACAAACGACAAATATTCCACTTACAACAGAGAAGGAAGGATCTACATTGTATCCTACATCTCAAGCAGCTGTAACAACTGTTTTCGAGACAACGGATGTTACAACTCTGGAATCTTCAACAGAGGATCTTGCCTCCACTGTCATAACAAGCACTGAACAAGCAGCAACTAGTATCGAGCAAACAACACTAGACTCGTTATCCACAGCACGAGGCACTACGGAGGTTGGTAGTACGGCCAATCAGGTAACATCCAAAGAAGCGTCGACAGAGGTGGCTACCACGAATCAGGATGCTACAAGTCTCATACCATCAACCCTTGAACCGACAACTGAGGCACAAACGACCAATATTGCAGCTACAACAGAGGAGGAAGACACTACATTGTATCCTACATCTCAAGCAGATGCAACAACAGTTTTCGAGACAACGGAGAAATCTGGTACAACTCTGGAATCTTCAACAGAGGATCTCGCCTCCACTGTCATAACAAGCACTGAACAAGAAGCAACTACAATCGATCAAACAACACAATACTTGTTATCCACAGCAGGAGGCACTACGGAGGTTGGTACTACGGCCAATCCGGTAACTTCCAAAGAAGCATCAACAGAGGTGGCTACCACGAATCAGGATGCTACAAGTATCATTCCATCAACCCTTGAACCGACAACAGAGGCACAAACGACAAATATTCCACTTACAACAGACAAGGAAGGCACTACATTGTATCCTACATCCCAAGCAGCTGTTACAACTGTTTTCCAGACAACGGATGTTACAACTCTGGAATCATCAACAGAGGATCTCGCCTCCACTGTCATAACAAGCACTGAACAAGCAGCTACTAGTATCGATCAAACAACACCAGACTTGTTATCCACGATAGAAGGCACTACGGAGGTTGGTAGTACGGCCAATCCGGTAACATCCAAAGAAGCGTCGACAGAGGTGGCCACCACGAATGAGGATGCTACAAGTCTCATTCCATCAACCCTTGAACCGACAACTGAGGCACAAACGACCTATATTGCAGCTACAACAGAGGAGGAAGACACTACATTGTATCCTACATCTCAAGCAGATGCAACAACAGTTTTCGAGACAACGGAGAAATCTGGTACAACTCTGGAATCTTCAACAGAGGATCTCGTATCCACTGTCATAACAAGCACTGAACAAGAAGCAACTACTATCGATCAAACAACACAGGACTTGTTATCCACAGCAGGAGGCACTACGGAGGTTGGTACTACGGCCAATCCGGTAACTTCAAAAGAAGCGTCAACAGAGGTGGCTACCACGAATCAGGATGCTACAAGTATCATTCCATCAACCCTTGAACCGACAACAGAGGCACAAACGACAAATATTCCACTTACAACAGAGAAGGAAGGATCTACATTGTATCCTACATCTCAAGCAGTTGTAACAACTATTTTCGAGACAACGGATGTTACAACTCTGGAATCTTCAACAGAGGATCTCACCTCCACTGTCATAACAAGCACTGAACAAGCAGCAACTAGTATCGAGCAAACAACACTAAACTTGTTATCCACAGCACGAGGCACTACGGAGGTTGGTACTACGGCCAATCAGGTAACATCCAAAGAAGCGTCGACAGAGGTGGCTACCACGAATCAGGATGCTACAAGTCTCATACCATCAACCCTTGAACCGACAACTGAGGCACAAACGACCAATATTGCAGCTACAACAGAGGAGGAAGACACTACATTGTATCCTACATCTCAAGCAGATGCAACAACAGTTTTCGAGACAACGGAGAAATCTGGTACAACTCTGGAATCTTCAACAGAGGATCTCGCCTCCACTGTCATAACAAGCACTGAACAAGCAGCAACTACAATCGATAAAACAACACCTGAAATGTTATCCACGATAGAGCCCACTACGGAGGTTGGTAGTACGATCAATCAGGCAACATCCAAAGAAACGTCAACAGAGGTGGCTACCACGAATCAGGATGATACAAGTCTCATTCCATCAACCCTTGAACCGACAACAGAGGCACAAACGACAAATATTCCACTTACAACAGAGAAGGAAGGCACTACATTGTATCCTACATCTCAAGCAGCTGTAACAACTGTTTTCGAGACAACGGATGTTACAACTCTAGAATCTACAACAGAGGATCTCGCCTCCACTGTCATAACAAGCACTGAACAAGCAGCAACTAGTATCGATCAAACAACACAAGACTTGTTATCCACAGCAGGAGGCACTACGGAGGTTGGTACTTCGGCCAATCCGGTAACATCCAAAGAAGCGTCGACAGAGGTGGCTACCACGAATCAGGATGCTACAAGTCTCATTCCATCAACCCTTGAACCGACAACAGAGGCACAAACGACAAATATTCCACTTACAACAGAGGAGGAAGACACTACATTGTATCCTATATCTCAAGCAGATGCAACAACTGTTTTCGAGACAACGGAGCAATATGGTACGACTCTGGAATCTTCAACAGAGGATCTCGCCTCCACTGTCATAACAAACACTGAACAAGAAGCAACTGCTATCGATCAAACAACACAAGACTTGTTATCCACGATAGAGCCCACTACGGAGGTTGGTAGTACGACCAATCAGGCAACATCCAAAGAAGCGTCAACAGAGGTGGCTACCACGAATCAGGATGCTACAAGTATCATTCCATCAACCCTTGAACCGACAACAGAGGCACAAACGACAAATATTCCACTTACAACAGAGGAGGAAGACACTACATTGTATCCTATATCTCAAGCAGCGGTAACAACTGTTTTCGAGACAACGGATGTTACAACTCTGGAATCTTCAACAGAGGATCTCGCCTCCACTGTCATAACAAGCACTGAACAAGCAGCAACTATAATCGATAAAACAACACCAGACTTATTATCCACGATAGAGCCCACTACGGAGGTTGGTAGTACGACCAATCAGGCAACATCCAAAGAAGCGTCAACAGAGGTGGCTACCACGAATCAGGATGCTACAAGTATCATTCCATCAACCCTTGAACCGACAACAGAGGCACAAACGACAAATATTCCACTTACAACAGAGAAGGAAGGCACTACATTGTATCCTACATCTCAAGCAGATGCAACAACAGTTTTCGAGACAACGGATGTTACAACTCTGGAATCTTCAACAGAGGATCTCGCCTCCACTGTCATAACAAGCACTGAACAAGCAGCAACTAGAATCGATCAAACAACACAAGACTTGTTATCCACAGCAGGAGGCACTACGGAGGTTGGTACTACGGCCAATCCGGTAACATCCAAAGAAGCGTCGACAGAGGTGGCTACCACGAATCAGGATGCTACAAGTCTCATTCCATCAACCCTTGAACCGACAACAGATGCACAAACGACCAATATTGCAGCTACAACAGAGGAGGAAGACACTACATTGTATCCTATATCTCAAGCAGATGCAACAACTGTTTTCAAGACAACGGAGCAATATGGTACAACTCTGGAATCTTCAACAGAGGATCTCGCCTCCACTGTCATAACAAGCACTGAACAAGCAGCAACTAGTATCGATCAAACAACACCAGACTTGTTATCCACGATAGAAGGCACTACGGAGGTTGGTACTACGACCAATCAGGCAACATCCAAAGAGGCGTCAACAGAGGTGGCTACCACGAATCAGGATGCTACACGTATCATTCCATCAACCCTTGAGCCGACAACAGAGGCACAAACGACAAATATTCCACCTTCAACAGAGAAGGAAGACACTACATTGTATCCTACATCCCAAACAGTTGTAACAACTGTTTTCGAGACAACGGATGTTACAACTCTGGAATCCTCAACAGAGGATCTCACCTCCACTGTCATAACAAGCACTGATCAAGCAGCAACTACAATCGATAAAACAACACAAGACTTGTTATCCACGATAGAGCCCACTACGGAGGTTGGTAGTATGACCAATCAGGCAACATCCAAAGAAGCGTCAACAGAGGTGGCTACCACGAATCAAGATGCTACAAGTATCATTCCATCAACCCTTGAGCCGACAACAGAGGCACAAACGACAAATATTCCACCTTCAACAGAGAAGGAAGACACTACATTGTATCCTACATCTCAAGCCGTTGTAACAACTGTTTTCGAAACAACGGAGAAATCTGGTACAACTCTGGAGTCTTCATCGGAAGAACTTGCCTCCACTGTCATAACAAGCACTGATCAATTGGCAACTACAATCGATCAAACAACACCAGACGTGTTATCTACAGTAGGAAGCACTATGCAGTTTGCCACTTCAGTCAGTCCTGCAACAAGCAAAGTAACGTCAACAGAAGAGGCGACCACTAGTCTAATTCCGTCTCACTTAACTAGCACTCAACAAGCTGGTACTATTTCTGAAGCAACATCTCTACGCTTGATATCTACAATGGCAACCTCTACTGTCCAGACTACGACTCCTGGCAACCCATCATCATTTGCAACATCAACATTGGCAGCCACCACGGAGAAGTTGGAAACCACCTCAGAAGTCACTACGCCTCTCAATCCAGCAATCACAACTGTGACAGCTACAAATTTGATTGGTACGTGTTTTGTTATCAAGTTTAATTACGCAATACCAATGGAACTAATACACCCAATAATTAAAACAAGATATCTTAATATCCTTCTGATATATGAACAGTATGGACGTTGTACACAAGCACGCCGTCAACTGTCAAAAAGGGGACATTAATTAAGGACTTGAACGCCAAGACGTGCACTTATATTCAGGTTCATTCCCCTGAGGCAACTTAATAAATGGTTTGTGTACCCTGTCCACACAATTGTCAATAAAAGTGTTTGCTAGCCTGTTTGAGATCATTGCAGCCATGATGGGGTGAGACGACTTTAAAACTTGAGTTAAGACAAAAGTGTCATACGTGGAAATGAGTTGAAGCGAACCAAATACACCCTCCTAGTTGAAGTATCTCAAAAAGGGGTATTGACAAGTTGTTGTTACTTCGCCACACAGCGTTATCCAGTTTTGCTTTGATTTCAATGGCATCTGTAAATTGAAGCTGATATATTAATTTTTTTCCCGTTCTTTTCAGATGAATGTGCATTGTTCCTCGATAACTGCGATCGTGTGGTTCAGGAGTGCATAGACCAACAAATCGGATACACATGTGAATGCAGGACAGGCTATACGCTAGACTCGACCGGCAAATGTACCAGTAAGATAAATCATGTATTTTAAGCGGTGGAAAATGGTTTTACATTAAAATAAACTCCGGGTTTAACTGGCGAACGCAATCAGAGGGTATTATTAATATGGTACAATTTGTACCACGCTCATGTGCAGGTTACACGCGCACACAAAATGTTCCTTACACCAACGGGGTTATCACATTACAAACATACGCAAATTCAGAACACATGGGAGTAAAGTACCACTTCTATAATTTCCGGTAACTGTGGTCCTCTGACTGATCTAGTTGAGTACCGAGAGTCCTTAAACTGGTGAAACAAATCCTATTCAATTAACAAGGATTAGTTGTGTTTGGATCGCAACTACCGCTTTAATTTCAAATGTTGGAGTAAAACGAGGTTCGTTCCTAAGTGTCATGAAATCCTGCAAATATCCGAATACTCATCAGTCTTGGTTCATAACTATTGAATTGATATCAATCTGAATGATTAAACCTTTAGTATAGGCCCTCCGGTTGACATGCACCATATCTGACATCCATTTCAACCGTCGTGCAATAAGGCTGAAGAAGCAAACAAAGTTGTAGCCACAATAGGGTATCTAGTTAGTTCAATGCGTATAATGAGTGACAAGTATGAGTGCCATTGAGCATCAACAATTCTCTTGAATTGAGCAATAACAAAGCACACCGATAAGGGATAACGATAGCGTACTAAGCTGTTCACATTCATGTCAAACCATTTTGTTAATGTCAAAATGTAACCATCGACGCCACTGAACCATCTCATGCTGTACTCCCATCCAGAGCTGAAGTCCTTCCAGTCATCATTCCGTATAACAGGACTCGTCGATGAGACTGGTGCGAGTCAAGAGGCAGTATTCACCACAGATTTGACCATTCGAACGAGCGAGAGTTTTATATCTCTTGAAATAACAGTCTGCTCCGCGGTGAGTAGGAGTAAACCTCATGATGATTTCATCTGGTAAATAGGGCTGGTAAAGAGAAATTTTCTCTCAATTCACATATTCGTTCCAAAAGCTGTATACGTTACTCCACGTACACTTTGGATTGATTGTATAAACAGCCAATCGTTTTTCTCCCACAGGTTGCATTGGTTTACAGGAACGACCCTCTCACAAGCACCATCTTCATAAGCTGTAGTGTCATTCGATTTGCACCTGGGAGTATTAAAGCCGAGTACACCATCGAACTAGCCTCTAATTCTACGGTCAACGAAACCTACCTTCAAGACACTATGAAGGAGGCAGTATTATCGGATACTTTAAACAATACTTTACGGGTGGCCAATGATTCCATCATTGTGAGTGGTAAGTCGATTTAAATCCATCAATTTAACAAATCGAAGAGTTTGAAATGGACAATGACTCTTTTTGATCGTCCAACTGATTAACCGTCGATTATCTATTACCGTTTATTACTGTTTCTGTTTAGCTGCGGGATAGCAGCTAAAGCTTGTTATGAAAAGTGTAATTGGTTCCCCGCACAGTATTTTAGGGTGTTTCAAATATTAAACCTAACCAATCTTAACTGCACCTATTACTGAGAAACATAAATAACTTACCAATTCTCAACATTCACCGGCATGTATTGCTCGATTTACCTATTTAGCTCTAAACGAATGTGAGGCCGACATGGATGACTGCAGCGACAACGCTATTTGTACGGACACGGAAGACTACTTCACGTGTAGCTGTGTGGATGGATACACTGATCTAAGGACAGATATACCGGGCAGATACTGTTCATTAGGTATAAAAAAGAATGATCTTGTCAGTCTGACTAGTCAAATTCAGTTAAATCATGTTAATTTTAAAGCATTACATCATACACACAAAAAGTATGACGTTAGATATTTTATAATCTTAAAATAGTTTTTATACTTGAAATCGTTATAATTTCTTACAAAAATTTAGTTCCAATCAGCCCAGAGCAAGACTACACCATCATCATCATAGCGTCCTCCGTCACCGCTGCAGTGCTTCTCATCATCGCCCTCGTCTTGGTCGTAGTTCACCTTCTGCGTCGGCGGAAGAAGAGGCGTAAATCGTCCACTTACTCCCTGGAGTCACCGGACGAGTTGAGCCTAAGTCAGCCCGTGTGGAGGCGAGTCACCCCACACGGCAGCCAGTCCCTGTACCCGTCCAGCTACGGTCTGAGTAACTTGGACATGGTGACCGACGGGGACGAGGCTGTGTTTACTGGGGCAAGACACGCCGGTGAAGGGGTGGGCTCTGGGTCGCAGGAATCGCTCACTGAGAGGGAACTGGAGTGGGCGCAGAATCTGAAAACCGTCTTCGAGACAGTGCCACAGGTATAAATGTCACACAGAAGTCAATTTATTTGGAACAGTCTAAAATAAATTATCATTTTTAAGTTTAACAGATATAGTCAAACCCTTCTGTTGTAAAGTGGTACGGAATTTGCGAGACAAATTATTTCCATCTGCAAACTTGAACTTGAAACCTTTTTCTTTTGTTATTGATGGTTTGCATTTGGCATTTGCATCGAAGACTTTCGCTTCTGCAACCCGATCTACTAGAGATAAATGACAGGCAGAAGCTTTGGCTCCTATAAGGCAACAGTATTCCATCTGGGGACGTTACGTTTAGTTGTCTAATAGTCTCGGGATGCTCAATCTTATCTAGCATTTCTGTCTTTCACAGAATCAGAGAGCCTACAGTCTCCCACTGCTACGCCTCCCGGAGACCGAACTAGCCAGTAGCTCTCGTACACAATCCCATGTAAAAAGAAGTGCAACTGTGGTGAGTTTAACGAAACACGCAAAAACAAATGTATCCTACCTTTCTTCAAATTTTTGAATACGTCTCTTTCTTTATTTACTAAGAAAACAGGGAATTAGTTCCGGATAAGTAGTCAGGTCGAGGCTGTCAGTGCTAAAGGGAACTTTCCTGTTTTTGAATCCTCTCAACAAAAAAAGAGAACGAGGTCTAAATCTAATTTGAAATCGTCTATTATAAGGTGTATAACATTAAAGAATGGAATTTCATTAACCAAACTTCGTCGTTCACTCCAATTCCAACTTTCAGCCCACAAAATGCTCTGAAACATAAATGTGAGCCCAAAATTGGTCACAAATTACCAGAGCAACTTATGAGTAATTGGCATTTTAACAGAATCTTTCACAGTGTAAACAACAGGAACAGTCAACTTTTACCTACATAATGTCAGATCAATTTTCGCGTTTCTTAATTCCTACAAATAACTAATAATTAAAAACACTTTTTCCTAAAACTCACTCGGGGATCTGGTCAGGAATTGTATTACTTTTTTTATTCTGCAGAGCGATGATGGCCAGCAGACGGATCGGTTCAGACTCCCCAGGCGTCGGTCTCAAAGTCCGGTCAGAGGAACTCCATTTACTACGGTAAGAAAGTAATCGGCGCACAAATAACATCGCTGATGGATCAAATGAAGCCAATTATTATACAAGTATCAGCAATGACTTTGTGGGCCAACAATATTGTTAATCAAAACTCGAACTTACCGTAGCACTTGTGTCCTTGCGAAAGATACCTTGCTTTGATCTTTCTTTGGGAAACCACAACGACAAAACAATGTAATAAGCGTTGGAATGGTTAAAATGTAAGTTGCAAACTGCCCCTTGCAGATTTATGCACTGTGTTGAATGTAATACTCTACAGTTTAAAATATCCCATTAAATCTTTAGATCCACAGTGATTATTTCAAATTGGTTTGGAAGGTCTTATTTCACTTAAAATAGCATTCTTACAATGTATAAAGTGAGAGAGAAAAGGAATTGAGATCCCATCTCGAGAAATGGGTTATTTTTTGGATGGTTGGGTAACATTTGTCAAATGTTTTCTTTTCAGACCCACGAATCGGCCTTGCGTGACCTCGGCGCAAGGGGAAGACCGGATAGAATTGTTATAAGCTACGATTACTTCTGGTGAGTCTTTACATTTTGCTTCACATCGTTTTCTTTTCTTTTGGGCCAATAAACTGAGTTGAAATTTTGTGTCTTATTGTGATGGAACATTTTGGAGTTCAAATATTGATAACAATTATAAAATAATCAAATAATTTTGTTATTCTGCCAGCAAAGAACTCTTAAAAAAACAAGTTCACTGCTCATATTAAATGACGATTTGCTTGTTAGTGTTCAATGACCATTACCGCTGATCTTTTCATTTTTTCCACCCTATTATGATTGGACAGATCGAAACTGCACGTTTCTGCGCTCCCGTACAAGGAAACACGATTCTTTGACGTATAGTCATCATATACTAAATGACACCTGCGATAACGTAGACGAATGTTTTGCGCAGAATCAAGTGTTACGTGTATCTTTGGAGAGGCAATCTTTTCTCTTTAGTTTGATAGAAACAAGCAAGCACCTGGAATGTAACGTTTTGCCTCTCTGACTTATTCTCAACTGATCTGTTTTCTTACAATGAAACAAAATAATTCTTCAAGAGTGCACAATTAGGTACTGTAGCTGGAAAGCCTTAAGGAAGAAGACGGGAGAAGTACCCACTTTTAGAGGCAATAAACCTCGTAGGGATAATCTAGGACAACTCACGAAATCAGGTAGGGACTGAAAACCAAAGCTGCATGTCAGCCTGGATGGGAACTTGCAATGAACCATGGTCAAGCAGCTGCGAGGCGATATAACGCAGCGTCAAACTTCAAACTTCCATTCCACTTAAATTGTTTGTCTGCATAAGGACAATACATTCGTGTGCTAGTGCACTGTGCGTATTGCTGTGTGTCACTTTTAAAGCAGTTTGCTGCCGCCTACGGCTTATCGAAACAACTTTTCGAGGGAAATTGGCCGGGCCTGTGGGAAAGTCGCAGGGATAAATGAACGGGAGGGTTGAATTATCCTAGGAGACCAATTACATGGGGTTTTCCAATATGTAATTTCAAAATGCACCTTCAAAATAATAATGAAAAGAAATTGATAAATATGATTAGCGTAGGGCTACAGAAGAGTTTTTATGTGATTGCAAGATTTGCTAATATCGTCTTGCTTTGCACTTATTTCCTTTATACAAATGAATCACATAAAAATGATTTATTTAAATTAAAATGTCCAAACCTTTCACTCATTGTCAAAATAATGTTATCGTTTATCAAATTTGAAAAATGTGTATAGTGCTGCAAAGACAGTGCGGTTTTAACGTAAATTAAAGTGTACATTATAGATATGCATTTGTTCCTTTATGTGCCTTGTTTACTGAAAATCGATGCACGTTTCGTTATTAAAGATATTTTTGTAATCATGTAAATACTCTATAATAACTGCTTCATGTTAAGCGCTTTAAGAATATGTTCTTATTTGTCTTTAAGTTACATGGGGGTGAACATTTGCCAGAACATTGATGTGGAAAAAACGCACTGGGAGAAATGCTAAAGAAACCGTAATAACATGGTCACATACTCTCCGTTTTGCCAAGTTTTTGGGATTTTGAGAATCAGTGACTTGCATGCCCAAAACACCTAAATTACCTAAAGACTTTAAAAAAAAGAAAGATCTGTTTGTTAATTTTTTGTATCCAATCCAATCGCTTTTTCCATTTTGTTATTTTTTGTGCTTAGATCAGTTAAAACATATATGTTATCCAAATAAACTGTTTTAGTAAATGTGTACAATATGGTAAATCTGATACGAAACAACAGCAAAAAAGCTTCAGAGCCAGTGCATTATTGCTTTTTATAATTTCAGCTACCTCAATGAATTGCTTGAGTAAAATTGAGAACCAGATAAAAATACACACTGTTTTGCATATTCCACCCTCAAGTGCCTTGTTTTTACAAATGAACTATTTTACAGAATACAAAAGATATAAGACAAAAAGAGTATTTATTTATGATGTTTTCCTTTTATTGGTTATCCCGTTTTCTGCTGCTTTTTTTTTTCAGTTTTCTGAATTATTTCTCGTATCCTTTTCCTCCTAAAATTGGAAATGTACTGCCAGTGGCGCAACTACTGGGGGACGCAATGGGGGGAAACGTCCCCTTCAAACCCCCCCCCCCCCCTTTTGAGATCTTGACAAATCATATTGCATTGTTAATGATACGTGTCACTGCCTTTGTTACCCCCTTGAAATGCACCTAAAGAAGGTCATGCCTATTTATACGCCACTGTGTACTATTCGACTATAGGGGGGAAAAATCAAATTCAAGTTTGAAAAATTGAATGCCCCTTTTAGCATGATAATAATCCGATCTCTTGTTTACTCGCAACCTGAGAGCGAAATTCCTACTCGAACAAACACGGCGGTGGAAATTTGAAAGTCAAATCTAGAACGAAGGAGCTCATTAACATGGGGAAGCACCTCTTTTGCCAAGGAAGACTTTGTTTTCGTTTATGATCTTAAAATATCATCGATGTAGGTCAACGTGTTTGGCTGTTTGAACGAACTATTTCTTGGCAGGATAAGTGAGGTCACACAACCTTGCAAAAAAGACTGGCAGTGTATAATCAGTGCCGGATCTACGGTGGGGGTAAGGGGGTTTAAACACCCCCCCCCCCCCGGCCGCAAAAAAAGGAAAAATCACGGCCTCCCCTTGGGCTTACCCTCGACCGATTAACCCCCTCTCTTGAGCCAAACCTGACAATATGTAGCAGTGCAGAAAAATTACCGTTTGCTGAACTGATTACCATGAACTGATGAAGGGTTACATATTAGACAGTGATGGATATGAAAATAAATTGATGGAGGTTTGCCACAATTGGAAGCTCGTTTCAATTTCATGGAAGAAGCAGGCTCAGGCTTCTACCTCATTAAGTGTTTCAGCTCCGTGCTGTTTTCCCGTGCTTATTATCGAGACTCCAGGGAACATACGCAGGCAGTTTCATAACAAAAACGCAATAAATCGGCGTCATGTTTGTGTCGCATTGTACTGATTAGTTGGCTAGCTAATTGGCTTTGACTTCCAGCAGTTAAAAATATACGACCTGTCAATTCAGGAAAGGGTATATCAAGGAGCTTCACACAAACGTACCCAAGGATGCCAGCGGGACTAAAATTGCCAATTAATTGACGAAAGAAATTGATTTTTTTTTAGTTTTTTTTCTAAAAAGCTTTGTCTCGCGTGAACAAAATAGTGTCGCCTTAGAACTTGCCACGGTTTGCAATAAATCACGCGTCCATGAAAGTGGCTGATTGGCTACCCGTGGTCACGTGCGTTACCCCCAGCCGTTGCCAAGTATACTAAGAGACTTAGTGACGGCAGGGGGTGTGTTGACCAACATTTGGGCAAAATACAAACCCACTGTACTTTAAGAGACCCATGATATATCCACCGTCACTATTTTAAAGAGAAAAAAACAGAGAAAATTAGGAATGAAAAAAAGAAAATCTCATGAAACGCAGTTGTCTCAAAATTGGAATGCAATTAGTGCGATCCTAGACGCAAGAAGTACCAGTCATAGCCCATAATAAAACCGCTATAATATGAGCCGCTTTAGTTCTACATTCGCAGCGAAAACAACCAGTGTGATTTATGAATTAATTTGTGCCATTCGACCTGAAAAACAAGCTGTTAGGTAAATCCCCCTTGGGTGTAATAGATGGATAAATTCTACTCAACCTAATTTTATGAAGTACAGAGGGGCGAAACCTGTTTTCCTGAATTTTGAAATATTGCTACGGGTGGCGATCTCGAGGACAGTCGGGGGGGGGATTAATCCCGTTGCAAAGCTTTACCAAAATTACACAAACGTTCACAAAAATTGTGTTTCCAATTTGTAATAAGCTCAAATATACTGTCGTCCATTACCAACTTAATACATCATTTAACGTTACATAATGGTAGGAAAAGTCGTAAATACAGATGTATTTATGTCCAAACGTACATGCTTGAAAAACAGTCTAACTATGTTAGCGTTCAACCCCCCCCCCCCCAATTTCTCAAGCTAATGGTCCCCCAAATTGTACAATAAATCGCCACTCCTGATTGCCATTAGGCGACAAAATAAACCCAGGCGCAACCATAGGACTATAATTAAATTAACTGAATACAGCTCGATGTCTTTCACCCGTCTAGATAAAGACTCCGTCCTGGAGGGTCGGAGCCTTGATGAAGTGCGCAGTGCGAGTGCGCACTACTTAATAAAATAAGGAAATCGTTTCGAAATAAAACTTCAAGATTCATATATACATTTAAATGTATATTTCAAATTTGGGATTAAAACCTTTTGCCCAAGCGATGCGCTACAGCCTTTGGTAAAACTAAAAATATAATGCGCCACGTTTTGGGAGCGAGTAGACTGCTATCATCTCAGTGACGTTAACAATATGAATTTACGATATACCAATATCTCATATTGTGGACTGGCCTCAACCTCGTTCCCATTGGTACGATCTTGCTAAACCTGAAGGGCCAGACTATCGTCCTCTGACTGACTAATACTGCGTACAAATAAAGTCCTACACTGAAGCTTTCGGGTCCAGCTCAAAATCTTGTTTTTCCCACTAAAGGACGAACAGTGGTAGACAATTAACAGAACCGGAGGCCCCACAAAATGTGAGAGGCCCATGTGTTCGGGCCTTGTACTATGTACATTGATGCTCCGCAATTTATTTTTTAAAAGAAAGCGGTCAGTTTCGCAAACTGTTTTGGCCTAGTCCGTAGTTGAGGGAATTTTGGGAACTTAAGTGCAAAATTCTACTTCGTGTGCCGTAATTCCACTGATCTAGGGTGGCACGGGTGGCGTGTGCGTAAAGCGCTCGCCTCTCACCAAGGTGACCACGGTTCGAATCCTGGCCGCAGATCGCATGTGAGTAGAGTTGTGCGTTGGTTCTCTCCTGTGCCACGAGGGTTTTTCTCCGGGCCCTCCGGTTTTCCTCCCTCCGGAAAAATCAAACACTTTCGATCTCAGGCTGTGCTCCGTGGTCTTATATGGGTCGATGTGGCTGGCAGCCAGAGGCGCCTTTACGTGCCAGCGGCCCGACCACGTTGTAGCCGCGTCCTTCGCAATTCAGCATCCCAGCTGCGAGTAAGGATGATTAGCCTCCCAAATTATTATTATCTCCTTTCCCTGGAGGCGACGGTCTATTCTCCTTTCTCGGGCAGCTGTGGTCTATTTGCTTTTACCCAAATGGTACGTTTGAAGAACATTGCGAAAATCTCTTGGGAAATATCCTACAAAATACGTGCAACTTGATCTCCTCTGCGAGTATTGCAGACGCTCGATCGGGGAGGAGTTGCTTTCATGTCACAGATCTCTGACCAGAAGCCAACGTCAAAGCCTTTTGTGTTCGTTACAGATTTGGCGGGAAAGAAGAGGAAAAAATGTAGGGGCAAATCATTGCAGGTATCACCGCATGTGCGCAGGGACTGAGGGGGGGGGGGGGGTGAGGCAATGTCTGCAGTCGTGCAACCGTAACAACCAAGATTGGACTGTGTGCAGTTTGTGTTGCACCTGCTACTAGAGTTAATGTGTTTTGGTATTAGAACGCCAGGACACCGTGTTCACTTTATGAACAAATATTGCGGGCTTTTAGAAAAAATATCGATTCTACAAAGTTTCATGCGATCAGAAAATTTAATTACGTTTTAGGCGAGTCAACTGAATTTGTCGGCAAAAAGGGTTCGTTAATGAATAATCGGATTTTTTGATATAAGGTTTCGTTATTTGAATTAATAGAGTCATCAAAAAGGTACATATAATGGCTTTTGCACTCCAAACCGTTAAGCCATTAGGAGCCAACATATACAGCCAATTTTGGCTTTCAATTTCATTGAATCAAAACAGCATGGCTTGCCTTCGGTACGCTATCACTCACCCCCCCCCCCCCCGCCCCGCCCCTTCATATGAACCCGACCTTTCTTGAAAGCTAAATCCAACCCTGTTAAGGTGACATTTCATGATAAACCATTAATACTGTCTTCAAACGTTTTATCCAGCTACCTGTTTTTAATCCAACTATTTAAACTTGGCAGGAGCGGCGGAACCGTGGGGGGGGGGGGGGGCGCACTTGCCCCTTTTGCGGACATAAATGTGCCCCTCCGAGCATAAATGTGCATCCTTGAGATGAAAAAAAAACATTAATTTGTAAATGGTATAGAGAGTTGTGATATGAACGAGGAATATGAAAACTAAGCTCCATTGTCGATTGTAAAACAAAAATGGTATTAACTGGCAGCTAAATTGTACAAGGATTGCTTTTCATAATATTTTGAC